CTAAACTCTCGAGCCAAGCTTCCTTTTCTTCTTTCTTCCTCCATGCCGTCGCTAAACGTGCCCCGACTCTGTAATTAAAGTCAAAATGAGATTATTCGCGACACGAGAGGCTGCAATCTCTGAGATCCTTTTTCTTCCCTGGACAACGGTGAGAAGATAATTGGATTTGTACAAAGTGTATAGAATTTTGATTGTGGAAGATGTTTAATTTTCCTGTTGATGAGGATTTTTCTGATTGTAACTATTTTCAATCATTTGAACGATAATTGGCAGGTAGCTTGTTAGGGTAGAGATCGGTAAGATCGTCTTTCCGGCGATCCGAGATCAACGTAAATCACGTATTCGCGTAGTGACAGCTGGCTGGGAAATTCATTTGGTCGTTGGTTGCAAGAGAAGCCAGATAAAAATCTGTTTCTCCGGGCAAAGGACGTGGTGGATGATAAGAGGTGACACCTACAGTCGTGCGTCTCCTGTCTCTCTCACCTTTCTCCCTACTTCTCTCCTAATCCCAACGATCTCTCGAGTCCGTGGACAGGATGGAATCATGTCAGTGACCTCGCAAGGCCTCGCCAAGGTCGTACGTTGAGCTCTCAAGCTTGCCAGCAGAAGCTATTCACCACCAACGGCAGCGCCACCACCATCACCACCACCATCACCACCACCACCATTGCCATTCCGATCCGTCGACTTCGTGACTAATTTGCAGACGAATAAACGCGGCTCTCTCTTTCTCTCTTTTTCTATACCTTCCTCTTTTTCTATACCTTCCTCTTTTTCTGCTCGTTCCTCTTCGCCACTTCTTATGCGGCCGTTCGTGTCCAACCGGGATATAAAAGTCCGATGGCGAGTGACTCGAATCGGTGGACAGGTAAAAGCGAGAGTCGATGCTTTCCTGTTGCCGGAGGCAGCTGATCTTCGATGTTAACCGATCATGACGAGAGACGTTTGACATTAAAGCTTCGGCCACTTTGTATTAACCCTCGGACGACGGACCATGAAGAAAATGGTTTTATCGTGAAATACTGTGCGACTTTCTACGTTTCGAAATCGTTTAATTAATACGCAACAAGGTAATAGGTTTCGATCGATTCACACGTCTCGAGGGTGGTTTTCAATTAGCGGTAGCGGATCGTGGTCGCGTTATCCGGGACGTTACTTCTCGTCGGGTTATCGACACGACCCACCGTTCCTCGCGGAATTTATCGGCCCTCCCGGATATCGTAATCGGATATCCAGCTAGCCGGCTGGCGCCATTTTATTAAATCGTCCCCGCGCCATTCCAACCGGCAAACCAGTTTACGATAACTTAACTCGCGTGTATGTACGGCATAGCGTCGACCAGCTTCTTCTAGCTCTTCTCTTTTCTCCCTGTCTTTTTCCATCGCCCATGGGTACCCCGGGCCATCTATGCGCGTAGTAAGACCGTTCGTTGCTTATCGAGCAGAAAAACGCATGGTGCACCGCCAAGGACGCCGACGCCGCCGCGTATTATCCGCGTGTATGCACGATGCGCGTGTATCTATCCTTATGGTTCGTTCACACGACGAACTAGACGTCGACGAACGTGTGGAAGCGCCAGGCGCTCCGGCTGCCGCGGCGCTTCTCGCTGGCGCCAGGCGCCTCTCGGATGCCAGCTTCTTTGCGTGCCACGATCCAAGTAACCGGCAGTAACCGAGGGATCCCTCTTTACCGCAGATTGATGCCTCTCGTTATACTTTCTCGATCGGTCTCGAGCATAGAAATCATAAATTTTAATGAGTCCGCAGCAGTTAAAGTAGAAGGCAGCCAGTAGCGACGGAGATTCGTTCGTGCTGATAATTTCTGTGTAGGAAAATTAATACGGTAGATTTAATTTGCGATGATCTATCTCTTATTTTAGGGATATTTTGATCTAGGATTCTAATACAGGAGAAATTGAAGTAAAATTAAATTTTTATTATATACGTAGCTTACAAATCATGAAAATTTATTTACCGGCAATTAGAAATGTTAGAGGTAGAAAATGAAAGAAAATGGTAAATCATTGCCACCTCGCGTGCTGTTGCGAATCACGCGTCGTACGTAATTGCATCTCTGCGAGATTTATGCGTATTTACGAGGATGCATCAACCGTGTCCGTCGGTGTATCAAATTCAATTATTGTTGGCAACGTTCAATTATTGTTGGCAACGGGTATCAAACGTTGGAACGGCCATCAACGCAGTCATCGCTCTAGGAGGTCCGCTTTGGACTATCGCATGACTGAGGTCTGTCGTTCCGTCTCCGAGTTACAGTCTATCAATCTAACAGTTGTTTCATTGTATTTCTCGTGTCACGGTTCCATGACAGACGAGATAACTATCTGAATCCAAGACTGACGATGTCCCCTCTTTCACAGTCTCGTTACTTCTTTTTTTGTTCATGTAGCTTGTTCTCTTAAGACACTTTGCTCGACTGGTTTACAACAAAATGATAGTACAAGTTTGAAAGCAATCTAGTGCAATTAGTAGTTCATTTCTGACTCGACTAAACCCAATATTTTCAAATACTCTACCCTCCAATAATTATAGTCCATCATTAGTATTCTCAGCGTTAGTGTGAGATTTCTCAGCGTTTAATCATTAATCCAACAAATTGCCCGCGGCTATGACGTTAAAAGCGATGTTCACACCTACGTTCGTGTAACACGGGAACGCCAGGAATTTCGCCAAGGACTTGGACGGATCTTCACGCACGAGCACCCCTTTTTGTTATTGTGACGGCTGACATGCTTGTCATACCTTGCTGCTGTTCCCGAAGGCTTCCTGTCCTTGTGCCGACAGCTTGGTCTGTTTAATGAACCACGTGTTACTTTCATTTAGCCGTCGTTCCATAAAGGACCTTCGATCATCCTGATAATCATTCATCGCGTCAATAATTTTTGATTTTCAACCTTTGACGACTGATGTGTGATCATAATTTGGATACCACATCCCCTGTCTTTAATCAAAAATAAACTTCTCGGATATTAGTCTATCAGTCAGAAGCCGTGTTCAAGGGTCAATTAATTTTCTAACGAAAATACGATTATTCGTCGATCTAGACGTTTGCGGTAGTTGATCGTTTCTCTGTGCTGGCTGTTAATTTGACAAGGGAAGGACCACGTCTCCGTTGAAATAAACGTCTCGTGAAAATTCGTTATCGTCACAGGGGAACGATTGGACGGGCCGAGTCGGACGAATCGATGCTAATAAAATTATGCTGGCAGCCGGCGGCTAACTCGATTCTCGTCCGTTTTCGCCCGGGTAATCGCGTTAATATCGGTTCTGAAAACAGACCGAACCTGACCTCGCCCTCGAACTTCATTAAACATCACGCGTAGTTTTCGCTTCGACGCTGAATCGTTCTCGCTGTTCGGTTCGTTAGGAAAGAAGGAAGCCTTTTCACAGTTAATTCGCGTGGTTGTTGCCTACCTCTTGTTCCCGCATCAATCGAATTATCTGTTCGTCCTCTGCAAACTGTTGCTACTTCTCGGTGTCTGTTCTACGCTGACGAAACTGGTAATCAAAGCTTCCACGATGTAATTGCTCGTGTCTCGTGCTTCATTTGCACCGTTCGCGTTGCTTGCTTTCACGTTCAATTGACGTTCGCTCGGGGATTCAATTAGACATCGTGCTACGGGGATATTTAGTATCCGTTTTCGTTGACTGGTACGCGCAGATGATCGATAAAATATACAAAGATATTTAACGTAAAGTTAAATGTATCATTTTTAAACGAAATTAAATTAAAATTGGAGCTTTCTCCATGGTCCGCCGCGCCGTCCGAGGGTTAAGTGTACTATAATTTGTGATAGCGAGTATTGAGCGAGCTAAGGCCAAAGGATGTTCCATAACTTCATAACGGGGTCCATGTTGCACCATAGATACACGAAAGGCACTCTGCGATACCCATGGCGTCTGGCAGTTTAATTTATCACGTACGGGGATAATAATTAGCGTTGAACTTCGAGGTTCTCTCGAGTCACGGCCCGTGTGGTCTTTTTCGAGAGTTGGGGAGTGTAAAGGGCAATTAGTTAGGGATGATTTATAGAAAGGCCTTAACTAATTGCCAATACGATCATTAACGAAAATTACGCGTATCGTCTGTCGACTTCCTTCTTCGTTTCCTTCCCTTTTCTCGGATCTTCCCCGTATTTTTATCACCTTAAAACATACCTGCCAAAGGTGCAACAGACGTTTTCTTATTAGTCGAATCGTTTAACCCTTCAGGGTTTTAGTGTACTTTCTAGACTCAAAGTATCTACTTTTAAGATAGGTCTTTCGTATCTTAAAATGTTAAATATTCGTCAAAAAAGAATATTCTGGCACCAGTTTTACATCCTAAATTAATGAATGTCGGATGCACTCAAAAGCTATTGCACGTTCTCTTCATTAAGGCACACACGATCCTAAAATTCATTAACCGTTCGATCAATAGCGAAGGTCTCCTGTGAATGTTGAAGCATGCTCGTAGCAAAAGGTAGTAACGCTGGTCGTAGTATCCTAGATGAAAGGTGCCGCGCGATGTCGCGTTCGGAAAGCAGTTAAGCTTCCTCTTTCTCTTTGTACATCGTTGTACACCTGTACACCGATCTTCTGCACGGTTTCTGTTAGCCTTGTTCGTAACTCCGTACGACGGATACCACGTTAAAATGTCCGCTTTATGCCGATTGCGATGGATATAAGAGGCAACGAAGAAAAAAAAAGTCTTCGTTAATTACGTTTCCGCATTTTTGTCTCTATTCGCGAAAGTTAACGATGGCTATAAATTTTTAAACAATTCAGTAGATATTTAATTTTAGATCCCAGATAAAATTATTTTCATCTGTGTTTAGAATTTCGATAATTGCGAGTTAAGATTAACCGTAAGGTTATTTAGCATTGTAAATTGTGAACGATAATATCCTGACTTAAATAGTGCGCGTTAACGTTAAGAGAAGAGTTTTCTGATGCATTGCATTCGTGTCGCTAACGGTTCGATGCTTTCATTCGATGTTTCAGATTCTCAAATGGAGCAGGGCTACCGGTCCGAGGTCCAAGAAAGGGCACTGGTCGTATCCTTGCAGATGTTCAATCTGATTTTAGAACGTGGCGTGTCCTTGTTGAAGTCTCAGTTGGACAGCAGCGAAGAACCGAGGATGGTTGTTAGCGAGGACATGCAAGTCCTTTTACCAGCTATCAAGGTATTTCCGTTATCTATGGCATATCTAATGGAACTTCTATCAGGATTTCTTTTTTCCAAGAAACTTTCACCGTACCGAGAAAAACCACCTTATTCCGATTGCATGAATGTAATCGATCCGACGATCTCAAATGATTATAGTAAATCCACGTGTTCGCTTCTTCGCGATCCAAAAATTAATTTAAATTATATTGACAAAGTGACGTATGAAATTGATTAGATTTATAGGAATTTTTAGGGAAAATTAACTAAGACGATTAATCATTTGGTTAATTCAGTATAACTTTATTTTTCTTTAATCCTTGAGGGATTATGTTTCTTTTGTAACAATTTTTCGTTAAACCCAACCCAATCGTTGCTCGTCCTCTTGTCATCGCCGTAATCCTGGCGAAGCATAAGCATCGAAGAATTTATGAAGCGACACGAGGTTCGCACCCACGCAAGACCCGCCGGTGGCCGTTGTCAGCCTCCATGGACCTGGTTCGTTCGTGTTCCGACTTATTATGCAACCCGTGGTTCACGATTAATGCACCTATCGCACGTAAGCTATGCACGCACGCTCCATCGATAAAGGTCAGCCTTATGACAAGCCATTGGAACCGCGACGTCACCAGTTTCTTCCTGCTTTTCCAGCTGGTGCAGCCTCCCAGAGGATGCTCGTGTATCGTTCTTACTCGAGATACGATCGCACAAGACTTTCTTGACCGTGGAATCGTTAGTTACATGAAATCTAGTATAAACTATTTTCCGTTGCGATCGGTAGCTTTTAATTCGTGATTATTATAATTTGCTGCTAGATATCCCTAAGTAATTAGTGAAAGTTTGAGAAGGTATTAGCAGAGTTTGCTAGTTCCTATAGAAAATTAAAATTGAGCGAATATAAGTGTTCACCTTTGAGGAAAAAATCGCGGGAAACATGATCGATCGGTATCGAAACGCAGGAATAATGGCAAGAGTTTCGCCCTTGTCTCACGGGAGACCATTAATATTAACGATAAAGTGGACGCGACACAACGCTGCTGGCGTACGATTCACTTTCTCAGGATGGATGAACCTGGTGGACAAAATGAAACGTCTTCGGGACGTGCTATAAATAGAAACGATATAAATAGATTTTCTGCTATAGTCATCTTTCATTATTCAAATTTTTCTCTTCTTCTTTTTAGATTTGGTGCGATTGGATGCTCTGTCATAGCACTGTTTGGAATCCACCACCATCATGCACGGATTACAGAGTTGGGTAAGTTCTTCGCAGTTTTATTTTATCATTTTTCATGGTAATATTATTCGGATAACCGGATGAGGATCTAACCGTTCTTCCCTCGAGTTTTTATCTCTTTTTCCAAAATTTAACTCGCAATCAGAACCCTCGATCCTTCTGGTGTTGAATCGATTAATTTCCTTCTAAATGGCGACAATTCTCCAACTTGTGTGAACATTTAGAGTAATAGCGAAAGTTTCTCGATAGCATGATTGTTCAAGCAGTTCTGCTCGTTAAAGCACATTTCTCTTCGACGTGTTGCGGCTAATTAAAAAGTTAGTAGTTAACGCGGTAGCTAGGAAGCAAACCGCTAAACGTCACTAAGAGAAATAAATTTTCCCGCTCCGGCGGTCGTGTATATTAGGATCAAGAGTTTCCTACGGACGCAAAGAATGCGCGATATCTCAAACTCCCTGATCCTGTGGTCTGTGGTCTGCGGTTTGAATCCTGGATCCTGGATCCTGGCTGTTCGGCTACAGTCGGTAACTAAACGCGATGCATACACTCGCCAGCAGATTACGCCACGGCCACAAATTATTCATAGCAAGAAGTTGCTTTTACGCGATGCAATTGATACGACCATGAATATGAAAATCTGTTAATGTCTATTTAATATTCTAGCAATTAGCAGGTCGAAATGCAATTCATTTAAAATAAATCAGTTGTGCTATAATTAAAATTTATTCCTGTTTCCTTTTCGGGAAATGGGTTATTCACTAAAATTAGGTATTTAAATTAAAAAAACAATTATTTAAAAAAAATATAGAAAGCAAGGATAATAAGTTTAAAATTAAATTCAAATTCTAAATCATACATCGCGTTAGTATACGCAAGCCCAAATTCTTCTGAATTTTAATTATTCAAAAAGAGACAAATTATCATTAGAAAAAAAAAAGAAAAAAAAAGAAATTGGGAACCAAGGATTTGAACCGAGGACCTTTAGATTGCGAGTCATGTGTTTAACCACGGAGTGGATCCATGACTCGTAATCTAAAGGTCCTCGGTTCGAATCCTTGGTACCCAACATTTTTTTTTTTTTTTTTTTTTTTTTTTTTTATGATAATTTTTATGTAATAGTTATTCAAAAAGAGACAAATTATCATTAACAAAAAAGAAAATGTTGGGAACCAAGAATTGAACCGTGGATCTCTAGATTGCGAGTTGTATGTGTGAGTTTGTCATACTTCAGAATGTAAGGAGTAACTAACTGTAATTGTTAATATCTTTTAAACAATTAGCCGTCTGCTCCCAAAAGGGGGTATGTGCGTGGTAGAGCAAGCAAACAGAAGCTTGTTCCGTTTACAAGTCTCGCTGTTTTCGATCGAACATCGCATGATGAGTTCGGTATCAAGCAGAATTTCGCCAGGTGCTAGGAGAAAAGGTAGATGGGGAGAGTTTAAGTGTGACGCGGGTCACGGTCAACCGCTGTATCGTATCAAAACTCGATCTACAGTCACGCAGAGGCTCGCTGATTCTTACGACGAGCTGCTTGCGGGTTCCTTACGAGTTCCTACGCGCGCAATTATCGCCCCGGCAACGCTTCTAATTCGACGAACAAGAACTTGCCTGCAACTTCTTGCATCTTTCCTCGCGTTGCTTTTGTCAAACGGATTAATCCTCCGCAGAGGAGACTGAGAGAGGAGGAGACGTTTGTGGCACGTTCGGTTCCACGGCTACGTCGTGAGACTATTAATTCAGGTTGACACTTTAGGTGTCTTGAATTATGACTGTTCTGTTGGACTATTAATTCTCCACACGAGCATCAGTTTCTCGGGCTGGGAAAGTTTGACCCATGTTAAAGACATCAACGACGACTACGACGACGCGACGTACAGCATCGCGACGCGTGTTCGTGATTTATCGTGGCTCGAAACGTTGAATTTCGTTGAAAATTAACTAATCGTTTTGGTAGCTCGAACGATATCCGTGGAACTCCTGTGCGGAACGTTTGACTCTCGTTGCTGTTTGCTATGGGGTAATTAATGATAATTTTATGGCGATTTATGAATGATAGACTTGTATTCAGGTATGCAATTTGTAGAGGATCTGTATTTCTAGAGGATCAGATATCATTTTATTGCATTAATTGAATTTTTAATACTGAGAAATTCTTTCGCATTCACACTGAAGATTGAGGAAAAAAAAAATGATTCATTTACTGTTAGAATAATTATCCCGTTTATTCAGATTTATTTTCGTTTCTCATTTGCTCTACATTTCTTAAGTACGTCTGGTTATTCTAGTCTAGTGCATGCAGATGTTAGCCGCATGACAAATGTTAATTTTTCGAACCAGTTAATTTCGAGGAAGAAAAAATAATTTAGGAGAAACAGGCTGAATTACAAAGTTGATTTAGTAAATACAAACGACTCGAAAAGAAAATGTCAAAAATGTGCTGTTTGCACGTACAACGCAAGGTCTTTAATTATTCAACAATTTTTTATAACAAAGCAATTCGTCGAATTAGGCAGTTCTTTTATTATGTGTTATTACGTTCGTTTAACCGATAATTCTGCAGCAATTACATTTCCAAAAGTGTTACCCGTCATCGTGGTCACTTTCTATTTCAAAATTCAAACTCGTACATAGTCCTTGCAAAGCGACTTACTCATGGAGCAATTAAGGAATTATGGTCGTCCTCATCTCGCTAAAAGCTAATACGTGTCTTCAAGGATACAATTACGTGGTCCAAGTAAATTCACCGATCGCAGAATTTTCATTGTCAAAGAAAAAATCTTTTTACTGCGCACACGTGTCAAAGATTATTGAAATTAATCATAATTAGCCACGTGTACACGAAACTCTCAATTTCTTCTGGACTTTTAAATTTGACTAAAATTTTAAATTATTTTTATATTTGCATAAACATCTGTAGTCCATTCATTATTTTTGGAAGAAACCACGTATTAGCCTTCGTTTATGGTAGTTCTTTTACATATATAAGTAGCGAATCGATGGTTAATCGCTGTTTCATGGGGGGAAAAGAACGGAGCAAATTGCGAAGCGTTTATCCGCTCGTTGAAGTCACCGGCTCGCGAACCTGTTTCGTTCTCGGAACGTCGAGCGTGGGAGTGACTGGCCGAAATAAAAGCACGCTGGACGTCGATGGGTTCGAGAAAAGGCCGATCAACCTGTAATTATCTTCTTACCTACTCCTCGATGATTGACAAAGGAGCCGTCCCAACAAAATCATCGAGGTGGATCGACTCGTTAGAAGAAAATCACTTGACGAATGAAAATAGAAAGCCGAGAAAATACAGAAAATCTCAATCATTTTTGGAGAATAATTTTACGAGTTAGAATGTGTTTTATGGTTAGAAATTTCCTGCAGAATTTCGTCGGGGGACACGAAGGAATTTTAGCGACGTTCATCGCCTAATGAGTTTATAAATTGCTAGACCGTGCGTAAAGAACGCTTGGAATTCTAAAGATCCTGAATCCCCTGAAGGTGCATTCTTGTTGAATGGGCGGTGGTTGGCTTGTTCTAACAGGTTAATCATTTTAATTGATCGATCATAGAAATAGTCATCTTCTTTAAATCAAACACGTTGCTAATTAATTATGCATTCAATGTATATCAGTTTTTATCGCGCCGTAACAAAGAAGCCTTTGTTCTTTTTCGTCGAATATTCGACCACGATCGCAGACAAGGATTTTCATTGGCGATCGTGGTTGGACCGACTGAATATATCGATGGCCAGGATCTTTCTAACGAGACGTAACAAAAAGACGAAAGGGAGGAGAAAGAAAAAAAAAAGAATAAAAATAAATTGAAAAACGGTCGTGCTCGACTCGACTGATGCAATCTATCGTCCATTAAACGAGTTTCAAGGCTCCTTTGGTCCCGTAACTGCTAGAATGCTCGCGATCTCGCCAGGCTCTTTGCGCAACCAACCTAACCAACCAACGGTCCCTATCCACCGGCTGGATAAGTTAATTATTGTTGTTGCTCGTTAGCGATTAACAATTATCCGAGCGAAACGTTTCCTTGGCAAGGACGCAGTTCCACGAGCCTGTTCAACGCGAACAGAACCGATTCACCCGGTATGGTTATTTATAGAACACGGATCGCAATTAATCTGCCGTCGAATCATGACTTAGTCGATCCCCACTATGAATTTTCCTCTTTTTTCTACCTCCATTCACCGAGGATAGCAACTTTGTTCTTCCCATCGCGAGTACCTGTGACCGTGTAATTGCCAGATCAATCACTGTCACTGTTTTCACTCTTTTCATCTTACTCGTCGCTTCTATGCGGCTACTCTACGGTGTCTATTATTGAATTCAAGTGTTACAGTTTCACGGCTTTAGTTTGCTTTTTGGATTAAAATCTGACGGAGGAGAGCATTGCTAATACGATTAACTGCTTCGATGAATAATTATTCAATTAGAACCGATTCATTGATCGCAACGACCTCAAGCTCCATAATTGAATCTTTCGATTTTCACACGATTCAAGTATCGTACTTGCGTTTTTTCTCTTTTTCGGATCGCGTTAATTTTCAATAAGCGTCCGATAATTTAACGATAAAGAGGTTCGCGGTTCGTTGGAACGGAAACGCGTGTACCTCAGCGTGCGGCTAAGCGCAATTAACGAATGACCTTTCATGACGCGCGATCGATTAATCGGCAACTCGCGAGGCGTGCGTCTCCTCTTCGCTATCTTCTACGCTCGTGCTAGCGCCTCTAAGCTTCTTTATTCGCCGCCTCCGGGGGCTGCGAGCGATACCATCGAATGATCGATTGCTTGGAAAATGATCCCCCGCGCGCTGCCATTCATCCCGGCTGAAAATAATTAAACGGACGACTTTGGATTTACAGTAACACGGAAGTGTGGCCAATGGATGCGTGCGAGCCTCTCACCGACACCTCGTATATTTAACGATGTCACCGGTATCCACGGTTCGACGGACGCGAGAACCGCGAACCTTTGATCTGCTATTCGTTCGCGTACCAGATCGACCTAGTTATCCTAATTTTTCTTCGTCGGATATCTTTAATTGAATTATAATAGGACTCTGAGGGTGCGCCATACGTAGCGACAGTTTTGTTATAATTAGCAATTACGCGTTTCTTATCTAAAGTGATCTCTTTGAACTTCAGACGACTTTCCATCACTATCGCGTATGACATCATTCGTTCTACCGGTGCTTACTATGCACAGATCAGTTATTCATTCATCTTCGAACGGTAGGAAGCACGTAATTCGTTCATCCGTGGATCTGGCAGCTTACTGAATCACCGGGGGAATATTTATTGCGAGAGGGAAGAACCGTTCGCGGTTGGATCCTTCCGGTTTCCAGTTACGCGATCTCAGCCGGATAGCTCGACACCTCTGACAAGGGAAATTTGATTCGACTACCCTTTTTTATTCTTTTCTCAATAAGTGTGGTTTTGTTGCAGCCCGGCTGGAGACGCCTGGAGCAGATTAGCTACGATGGTGAACTTGCTGGAAAAATTGAATTACTCCAGGACGATACTGATTCAGCCGAAGGATGCAGAGGGTCGAGAGGATGGTGAGTTAATAATTTGAAATTGGTCCGTAATTAAATTAGTGATAATTAAGATATAGCAGGGATCTATGAGGTATCATTCAAGTGCAGAGGGAATTTTGTCAAAATAATATTGCAAATTTTCGCTAGTCTTATTATCACTTCTAAGGTTTCCAACAGGAAACATCTTCGATCTTACTGTTCAGACAGGGATCGCTACGATCGATCATCATTAGTACACATATTCAGTCAACCACGAGCGACAGCGCGCAAAACCCTTTTATACGATTACAATGAGGATCCATTGATGAACGAATCGATTAGTAATTCAAACATTCTTCGCTATCTAGAAATGTCTTTGCCTCACCCTCCGATGGCGGACCACGGAGAGAGCCACAATTTCTAAATTTTACCCTTTCCTTAAAAATTGTTCTTACTATTGGATCGCAATCAACCCCTGTTAAACAGGGAACCTGTTTAAGTGTTGTTAAATTGTTGTCTATCGTTGTTCATTCGTGAACGTTCGCAGAGTCCCCCTAACCATTCTAATCCATTGGCAGGAGCGTTACTCTAACCATTTTACCATTAAACGATTAGCAAGGTAATTCCAAGCAGTGTCGCGACGATCCCCCATGATAACTCGAATCCCGTGGCCACTCGAAGGATGGACCAGTCGTTTAATCGAAAAACTGAAGTTCCTCGAACGGCTACGAGGCCTCTGGCCGTCTGTTGACCCGTGGATAGCCGCCGGTTACGTAACGGTGAATCCGTTCGATGTGACCACTGCAGTGCCATATACACTCTCTCGTGGCCGTTTACGACTTGCCAGCCAATGGTGTTTCACCGTAACCATGGGGGCCACGCCGCGTTCTGCTACTGTGTGCCTCTCAAACCTCCATCTTTTTTTTTTTGCCATTCTTTTCCGTGTTTTTGATATATTCTGGTAATGGTACTTTTTGGCCAATTTTTAGAATTGACTTAAAAAGAACAATTATAGTCCCAGTCTTACAAAATTAATGTAATATTAATTCTACTTACAGTCTTCTTAAATTTCTTTTTTTTTAATCTTTTAGAAATGTCATAATGACTTGTCATATGAATAATTAGTGGAGTGAATAGAAATAGTAACTTTAGTATTAATGTCTTACATTCAGGAGCATAAGTGATATCTTTCTTAGAAAAGGTGTACGTAAGGTAAAAAAGATTCTAACTGTAAAACCATTACGCCTACACGTTCGATCGGTTCACGATCTATGGACAAAAAATGGTGAAACAAAAGAAGAATACGTAGACATTGAACGGGGTTAGATAATCGTATTCGACCGTTAGCGAATAGAAAAACACTTTGATGGACGACAAAACATCGTTCGTGGCTGTACAAAACAGCCTTTTTTTCTTTTTCGTCCATGGACGAAACGAGAACGCTCGTGACTTAATGAATTAACAACGGTCCGTGTTGTACCGTCGATAAGTTGGCACAGGATACAATCTATGAATTATGTACTGTTATCGTGTGTAAACCTGTCTGAAAAGTAAGTATAACACGACCAAGGACGTACCACGAAACTGGAACGTTCTTTCCCCAGCCGTCCGGATCCGTTAAGGTAGATTCAGTGCTAGGCTATTAAACTTAAAATCAAGTTAAATCGTAAATTCCAAAATTTCTAAAAGACCTGCTTCACCTCCCCCCCCAAAAAATCCTAAATTACGCCATTAGTGTTTCTGTTATGATTTTACTAATAACAGCACTGCTCCACCCCATCTTCCTGAAAAAGTCAATTCCCTTTTTCTCAAAAACACCTTACGCAACGGTCCATTTGAAGAATGTAAAAAAGTAACTCGATCAGTGGTGTATTCAAGAGACAGGTCCCTAGTAAAAAAGGCAAAGACACGGGGGAAAAAATTGACGAAACATCGAAAGGCTGAGCAGCGTGCACACGCGAGAACGCAGCCAGCGATACGATTCGAAAAAGGAACTGAGACAGTAACGGTACATCCAGTAACGTGTGCCGTAATGCCAATTTGTTGGCTTGGACGGTTTCTTCTTGCGTTCTCCTACCCTTTCCTATCTCTTCCTTCACCTCTCATCCGTCCTTTTCTCGTCGATTTAGCCGCGCGTTACACCCGAGGCACAATGGATAAATTTGACAAAAGGTACAAAGAGAAAAACGATGCTCTGGGCGGGCCAACCCGTTTGCCGAACGTGCTTATGGTCCCTGAGTATGAACGTTATTGTGAAGTTCGTCGGACGTGTTTCTTCTTTCCAACATCCTTTTCTTCTTATTTAGCCAGCCCTTTTTTCGGCTGCGTTGCTCTCAGAAAATGATCGATGATATTGGAACGTTTTGAAGGATGATTTCGTTAACCCATTAGGGACGAAATTCCATTTGCAATTTCTTTTTTTTCCAAGTCAATTTAACACCCTTGGCGCGAAGAAGAATTTGAGAAATTTGATTGATAATTTTTAAAGGAACCTTGGTATTCTTTCTTTCATTTTTTTTTTTTTTAAATTAAAAAAGAAAAAGTGTATCTGCAATTTAATGATGCAGTCGTCATTAATATTCTCCGGAGTGCACCTTCTCGAGTCGCTTTACACGGTCAGGCCGCATTTATCGCGAATATTACACGAAGTTCAGGGTCAGGCCGGCTTGGAACTGGCGTGGAACATGAGGAGGATCAGCGTGGCGCGCGGTGCAATCGATCATCCTGAGGACTTGGCGCGAGGTAGATTAAGCCTGGGTTCGTTCCAGCCACGGGAAAGAAATATAGAAACCTAATCGTGCTCTCTATTTCGCGTGCACGATGTTTAATACGAATTCCAAATCGATGTCGTGGCGTACGGGATCACGCGAGCTAGCTATCATTCCTGGCGCTAGCGATCCGCTCGAGATGTACGCGTGATTCCGCTCCATTCGCCTCGATACGCGAAACGATTTCATGAAGGATCGTGTTTGTTTCTCTCTACGTGCCAGCCTTCTCGTGTTTTTAACCCTTTAATCACCAGACTCTGCTATCTATCAATTTCATTACACGCCATAATTAACGGTGCCACGTCGGAAATTAAAATAAAGTGTTTTCGTTGGGAAATAATTTTCCGTGTAAGCACTTCGACTTCGTTAAAAAGAGCGACTGGTTTGTTGTCTGATTGTAAAAATCCAAGAAGTGTTTAGATAAGGTACACGTTGATGCTTCTATCGTGTACACAGCAAAGTTTGAGGAGCGGTATCTTCATCGCGAACTTCGTACGCGGTTACTTCTTCCGCATGTTCGAAGGATTTCCGCAACCGCGTAACCGAAGGTTTTGTTTTTCTTTCTTAAACACCGAACGCTTATTCCTAACGAGCGTCGATTAGTATTTCAGTTGATTTGCGTAAATGGTAAATTTGCAATTTGCTTAAGAGTTGTTCGATGTTTGTTTCAGAGCTCGAGTTGGTTAAGTTGCCGGAGGATGTGACCCTGGCAGGATTCACGCCTCTCATGTCGAATCCTCAGGATCCGTGCTACATAGAAAAGAACGAAGATATGGTAAGAAATTAACTTAGTTATAGCGTATCAATGAATTTTTCTTTTTCAAATTCTAAAACACTTTTGTTATTTTAATACTTTAATTTATTTGTTTTCACTGCTACATATGCCTGTTATTTATCATTTCATTTTAATCATAAAAACTTTTCCAATGAAACTCGTGTTTCATTTGCTCCCCGGCTTGTCCACGCCGAGTCCATGCTCGTGTTGTGTTCCAGGAAGTTGCTCAAGTATGCCTCAGGATAAACAAGATTCTGTTCTTTGGCCAAGTGTTTCTGTGTGGCCTCGAAACCCCGGTGCTGAAGTTGCAGAAAAGCGAGACCGGTGTCAGTGAATACGTTTCTGTGGTCGAAGCATCCAGCACCAGTACCCCGAGTTCACCCCCTGAACAGGTAACTAATTCACTCTGGAAGCGAAGTAATAAAATTGTAACTTATTCATTCGCGTTCACCTAACTGGTAAGTTACACTCAAAAGCTTCTCTTATGAGCTTAATAAAAAGAAAAATGAAAAAGGGATATGTAGTTATCTAGTACAAAGTAGGACGAAAGCGTAAGAAAATGGGTGAACGCTTTTTAGAAAATTGAATCCAGGGTGCCTGACATTTCACACCAGCGCCGTAAGTATAATGGATTCAAGCGAGCTCGCTTAATTCACTTTCAGAGCGACTCGGAGCTTCTGGTAGAGAGTTACAGCGAGGGTGAAGATGAACCAGCATCTACCCTGAGGAGATTACCCTCGTGCACAGACGTACCTGACGATAATACCGCGCCTGTGGCTGCAGTTGAGATAAGGTCGCTGATCGAGAGGAAAGAGGAGCTGGAGAGGCGGCAACGGAAACAGGATCGTCATCGGCAACGAGTACAGGTGAGTACCTAACACCTTGAGGCTCTGCATGCTTGCTCGTTAAACACCTAGATAGATGATCTATCGATCAGCTCGATCGATACCAGCCGATTGATCACCACTTGCTACGTCGTTATATTGATATTTTTTTTTTTTTTTTCAACATAAAGTAACGGGATAGGAACAGAGGGATCATTGATTTTCAATTCGTTCCTAGTCAATTTTCCAGTTAGCGTGGGGAAGAATAAACTTTCTCGTGGGAACTTCCTTCCTTCCTGACCCGCACCGATTCGATCGAAATTTTCATTATATTAATTCGAGTGCACGATTTAATTTTGACTCACTATTGATCCAGCTATCTTCGTTCCAGAATCGAAATAGAACCTTTTAATAATTTACAGCCACCTCATGGTCCGCCATCAATGTCTATCACTGCTAGTATTTATATTTTTACCCCCCGTGAAGTTTTTACTCGAAACGTCCGAACAATCAAATTACGAGTCATTTAACGTACCATCTCCTAAACCCTGGCGTTTCTTTTTTAACCCTTACCTTTTGAAAGGATCTTACCTGGCCAACCGTGAAACGGTTCCAAATTTAACTTGGCCCGTACGAGGCTTCTATAAATAGAGCCGTCAGGTCGATATCATCGCGAGACTCGATTCTTCGTTCGAGATACGCGCTGCTCGTTTCCTCGGGGTTCCTCTTTTCGCCTCGTATCTTCATCGTAAGGGCCGACAAAGCGGTCGGTGAAACACGTTTCGCGTCCCCTAAGTCGAACTAAATCAAGAGATTACCAGGACACGTTGCTACTTTCGACCCTTCTTCGTTCGCCTGTTCGATTCCCTTTTTTTTTTTTTTTTCCAACTTATTGCACCGTGCAAGAGATCGCAGCACGCGGCCTGCCGTTTTTATTTACGACATCGGCGCTCCTCGTTTTTGCATATTTATTATCGAACCCTTTCTCGGGGCCGGGTTTTCTGCCTACTCTGTGGCCCTTCTTTCACTGGTCAGAAGATATTTTTCTCTGAAATTGAGAGGCAAAAGGAAAAGGAAGTTTAAAGTTTGTAGTCGTTTTACGTGAAAAATAGCTGGTACCCGATTTGAAATTTTAATTTTATTTCCGATCTAAAGAAGATAATTGATGATAAATTAATTAATAAATTCCGTGTACACGAATACATAGACGCGTGACATAATTGAACACGGTTGGGAACAGGTTCCTCTTGACCGAGGAAATTGTTCCAGATTCGCGTGAACAGGTTGTTCATTTCGTTAATTGGGGACACGCGACTTCTGCGTTACACGTAAAGATAAGGGGAATATTAGCACGGGTCACGAGCAAATTTCGTTTCCCACTGTGTTATCCTATCACGAATCTTGCCGGATCAACAGTTATCATGGCACGAATAAAGACTGGCTCGATTATACTTTCAATTAGCCGCGCTGGAAACGGATGTCTTTAAATTTATTTAATTTCTCGCAATGGCAGAGAAAATGCCGCGGTGCTGCAACGGAACGAATCATAAGTGTGCCATTCTTCTTTGCGCCAGAATTTCAAACCGTTAGTTTGTCGCATCATGCAATTTACTTTACAAATAATATGTAATCGTCTGTGGATTATAATTACCACTTGGAGATAAATGATAACTGGTATGAAAAATTTTTGAAATTGAAGAGAATAAGAAGACGATCGTAAGGACTACCGAGGTGTTTTAGTAACGGCATGATATCAAAAGGTGTCCTTTATTTCGACGTGTCGTGCTTGTCAGCAAGACCCTCGTTCAGCAGGGTAACTTTATATACCGATGATATCCCTGTGTTCCTAACGAAACCTCGCGTCGATAAGAGTGGCTGGCAAAAGTTCAGCAGATACAGGGGAATTTATTTTCTCTCCGTGAGGGAGAGAAAAAAGGTCCTTCGAGCGAAGGAAGATAATGCGAATTGTACGCGAGGGCGAAGGGAATTTCGACTGTAACTTTTCAAAGCTTCCCTCGCAGATATTGGACGGGAATTTTGATGGAGTTTAAGAAACTGGAGTAGAATATTGAATATACGTATTATTGAAAATACCAAAAAATATTTCTCACGAAAATTGTTAAATTTCTCGTAACTTGAAACAGGAATTTAGACATTGAATTTGATTTTTGGTTGGGGAAAGGTGAGGGCAAAGGTGTTAATAGAACATCCGGTTAAATCATTCTGATCATAGATATTCCAAAAAACTATTAACTTTGCTACGAGTCATAAACGAGGCTGACCCGTTGTTTTCCCATTTGCACGTAAGTACAGACCACGAACAGGACTCGTTACGCTGTTCCAATGGCTTAATGATTTATATTATACTCCAGGACGAGTTTTAGCCCGGGGTTATTTTTAAACCATGCCTCGGTTATCCTGCAACCGAAAGCAATGACCGAACAAAATGTTCGTACTGCAAATTCGTTGCAATCTTCTTCCAAGTAACAAAAACTTGTTCTCCCCTTGCGCACTCCAATTACATCACTCGTCCGAAAAAAGGGTTGCGCCGAAAATCTTCTGCCTGTGTATCGTTCAATCAACTCGAAATACGAGCGTGTACCTGTTTCGCATTAGCCGAGACGGCTTGTCCGGAACCAGTCCCCGCGTTATCTGCTTAATTCGCTTTTAATTCGAGTCCCGGTGACCCCACGACCGTGGATTCGCGGTAAGACGGGGTCAGATCGCGAGTGTAACGAGCTGAGAAATTCGCGAGACAGGTACCGTTTTCGCTTAGCTAAAGAGGACGCACTAATTAATCGTCTCGTATGCGTCGCCTTTTTTTTTTGTACAGTTATAGCGCGTTTCGCGCGATCAAGAAGAAGAAGAAGAAAGGGATGGTGGATTGTTAAGTGGAAACGCATGATTTATTGATCGTCTTGTGGGACAGGCAGGATGATTGTAGCGAACCTTGCAGGTTTTCGTAAAGGAATGATGATGACGATGTAGTTTGGTAGCTGGACACCTGAATTTGTTGTTTGTTATCGCAAAGGTTTAATGGTTCCTCAGATTAAGGAGGTCGGTGGACGGGTTTTTTAAGGGAGAACCTGATGGTGAAACTTTTTTCCATGATCTTGTTTAATGCGATAATACGGGGTTGCGAAAGTATTTTGGTAATGCGTTGATTATGGTCCCTGAAAGTTTTTGTATTTCGGTGGTTATTCGAGGGGGATGAACCTCGAGATTCATTATTTAAATTCGAAACAGTACTCTTTTGAAGGTACTCAATCATTTGTTTTCTTAAGCACAGCGAGTTCTTTGTTAACGGTTCGCGTAATTAGCCACCCATCCATTGGATGTTGATCGTCACGTTTCCTCACAAAATATCGTTTGAAATATTTCCGGAACGGCAAAGGTCTTTGTAGACACCTCCCGGCTACGTTCTAGATCACGGATCCAAGGTTCATCGACCAAGCATCACGGATCCGGTGGATAAAAAAAAAAAAAAAAACGCCGGCGATGATTGTATTGGAATGAGGGGTATTGTAGGTGAAGGATTAATTAGTCATAATGGCATGACTGCTTTTAGAATTCGTTCCGGTCTGGCGTGTTGCGCGATACAGTTTTGCCTAATTTCTTTGTGCAGGATCAACATAGTCCTTAATGATATAAAAAGATTTATATTTTGCATAATTTCTTTGCGCAGCATCTATATAGTTCTTAATTATATAAAAAGATTTATATGTAGATTTTGATTATAGTCAAAATTAAAAACGATATAATTAAATTTTGTAATTTGGGATATATAAATAGCTACTGGGTTATTTCTCTTGACATCAAGTAACATGTTCGAAACTTTCGCGAGGAAGTGTATGTACACACTCGTCACGGTGAATCGAGATGCAGCGAGTCGAGGCGTGAGAACGAGGATCCGCTCGAAAATGCAAATTTGATTGCCCGAAAGAGAAGCCGGCAAAAAGTGGTTCCATGTAATGCGGCCCGCGAGAATTAAAAATACGCTGGCGTTTCGTTTAGGATGCGAAATAAAATGAGCGATGAACGAAACCGTTAATTCGGACGAGAGTATCGCTCCCGCGGGAACCTTGCAAAATACCATCCAATTTCCATGGAATTACCCAGCTGTATTTTCGATGTTGTTGCAAACCTACGAAGAAGGTTAATTTTACCATGAAAATATTACACCATTCGAAAACTAAAAAGGTTATATAACAAAACAATCCTCTATGGCATAATAAGTTGAACCATCTTCTCTATTGCTTTAAAAAAAAAAAAGGCACTTCAATCTCTAATAACAGCGTGAACAAAAAAAGTAAGAATTTTCCAATTTCCTCTTGCCAGAAATAAAAACATGCAGCATAGAGTGATATAAACAATAAAAGAGAACGCTTCCTGTTCAACGCAACAATCGAATTCAGAATTTATGCGGCTGAAAACGAACCGAGAGGAATAAAGAATACAAACCAACGATACGAACGTGACTGACCACTGTGGCAAATAATCCTAGGCCGCCACGAAGCGATGAATAAAAAAAAAAATAAAAAAAATAAAAAAACAGGGCACAGGGATGGGAGAGTAAATTGCTTTCTCGTGGCTACGTCCTTCGTATCATCGTGTATTACCGTTAACTCGGCCCTTGCGATTGCGATTGCCGTGGAATTCGTTTCGTTCCTTTTTATGTCGACCCGTGGATCGCGGCCCGCTCGCCTTCGTCGTTCAACCGCGACGAGAAAACCCGTTCGATATTTCAACGCACCTGAGGAAAACAACTCTAAATATTCTTGTACAGGAAACACCAAACAGATCATGCTCTACCAACGAATGTTTCATGTTCACCTGGTGTTTATTCTTAACGAAGCCGGGGAGAATCTTGAACTTACCTGATTATTACCCGACACCTGTACCATTTTCTATTCTCGCTACCAGCTGATAGAGTAGTTCTTCTACGGATGGTAAATACAGGCTGATTTATTAAATAAAGCGATAAATCGTTTTATGAGCCGAGTAAATCTCAGCTTTTGCTTTTGTCAGAGAAGGTGTCTACT